CGCTTCCATCTTTGAAAACGTTACTAAAGAAAATTCAGCTCTTTGGATCAGTTGTTGTCACTGCAACAATTCTGGAACCCACTATGCCCACAGAGTGCTTGCTCAAGCCAAGATTTTCTTTGAAAATGGAAAATGTTGATCTTTGTGTGATTTCACGCTTAATTGTCAATTTTCGCAATGGTAAATTGTTCATCTTGTTTCTAAACTAGGTTCTGCACAAGTGAGATATTTTCTATAATTCATATGGCATCATCAAGTAGCTCTCTTCTCTCAGTCAAGCGTCTAATCCAATCATAAATCACTGCTCTATATGGCACAGAGCCTGCACGAATCTGTTAACAGGTTTCCCATTTCGTTCAGTCGAAAAAGTCACCCTTTCGAATAGTTAAAATTACAAGCTATTTTGATATACAAACTGTCTTGATCATGACCTAAAATAGACCGATAGGACAGTTGTAAAGACATATTTAGGCTTATTGGAATGTACAAATCATTGTTTTATTTAAAATTGTGGTCTTGGTCTGAGAACCTTTGGACTCACCCTCCTATATAAAGCAAAGGCTCAATCAAGAAGCTGGAAGAACAAAAGTTAGATAACAAAGTTGAGGCAATGAAAAAGCTTATTAAATAAAGTCGATTCATTGAATAAAATTGCATTCATTTTTACAAAAAGTGATTAGGGTATTAGGGTTTAACTTTTGATCAAAAGATAATTACTAAAAACCGTAGGAAAAATATATATCCTTAAAATGGTCTTTCTTTATTCAAACGTGATTAAATGTGAAAAATTGAATAAACTAATAGCCTCATAATTTACCCAATCAAAGCATTAAGTTGAAATCACTAAATTCCCGTGAATAGGCAGCATATGGTGCATACGGTTGAAGAGGTGTGTACTTCTAAATATATAACTGGAGAATTGAACTATAAAAGTATATAGTCAGGGAAATTTTCCTCATTTGAACTGCTTGAGCTGAAACGCAAATAATAATGAGAAGCAGCAGAGATTGTGGTGAGCTCAGTGAGGCCCTTTATGTTTGATTGAGGGCGGCTCTGTTGTTAAGATCGAACTTTTAATGATTTCTTTTCATTAGGGCTGCATTCTGGTGATGAAACTACTGGTGGAAATAAACTCTTTATTTTTTTCTAACATTCCTACAATATTTTCGAGTTGATTCAATTTTTTTGTTTAATCATAGAGTTCGAGTCTGTTTTCGACGTCCCCAGCGGTATATATTTCAATTTCAAATAATTTAATCATTGGATTTATTTTGAACTAATATCTATTTAATTTGTTGATTTAAAGACGCTGTCAACACTGAATTTCGGGATTACATCATTAATGGTAAAATTAAATTGATTTTTTCCCCAGAATAATATAAGTTTTGAAAATGATTTCTTTAACCCCCTAAATTTTACATCCAGATATTAAAGATAATGAACAGGAAATTGCTATTTGCAAGGAAGAAGTAAAGGAACACAAGGAAGAAATCCTATGCGATGAAACTTCAACAAAAATAAACAAAAAGAATGTCACCAAAGGTAAAATTTACCCCCCTCCCCCAGTATAATAAGCTAATTTGACTCATTAGAGGGTGAAGCTAAACAAAACTCCTCCAATTCCGCTGACAACAAACGTCATTTTCAAAGAAAATCCCCGATATTTCTGAAGAATATTGTGGTCAAAGTGCCGAGAATGGTATTGAAAGGTAAGTGAATTATGAATGCTCTTAAAAGCTCATTGTCTCAGGGAATCTGTAATAAAAATCTCCCTGTTTTAGAAGCCAAATCCCGTATGCGCAAATCAAAGAAACTATGTGATGGCTCCGGTTCTGAACATGGTGATGAGTCGACGTGGAGTAAGATTTATTACCTGCTATTTCTAGAGGCTAAATCACTTTGCTCGCAAATGTAAACTCCTCATCTATTTTAGGTACGGTTTCAACGGAATCGTATGTTGACTATATTGGGGGTATGTTGAATGAAACATTTTGGTATTATAAATGACCCCTTTAATGGCTTATGATCGTAAATCTCACTTTAGAACCAATAAATCTTCCTTGTGCTATGATAATGACCGATGGTAAGTGGCCTTATTCAATTAATATTCAATATTAACCGCGTTGTAGCATTTGATCCATGCAATCTCTATTCAACCCTAACTTGAAATAATTTTATTTTTAACAATAAAGAACGATCTTTGAGTTCTGAAAAGGAAAAATGTGAAGGTAAGTTATTTGATAACCTAAAACACTCGCGCGTGCATTTTACTCTATTAACAGATCCATCTAACCCACAAAAGTATTTGCGTATCATTCGTAGAGTGGACATAATGTAGTGTAGATACAAGTATAAAATTGTTCAAAAGGCAAAAAAGATGACGCACGTACATACGTTTTTAAAGTGATGTCTGGTGTTAAAGTGACGCCACTGTTTTTCTCAGTGCTACTAGGCTGCTTGTGAAGAGATTTTCATTTGGAGACTGGTTGTAAGAACGATTCGATGAAAACCGTATTGAATCACTTAAAAGGAGGTTAAAGTTTACTGTACTGGCTTAGCCTCTTACTTTTTAAGCTAGCCCTAATTTATTTGATGCTTATACAAAGCTGTAATTTAAAATTGAGCAATTTAAGAGAAGTAGTTGGTTACCATACTTCATATTTGCGTTGAAATGGCTATGTATTGATTTCCAATGTTGAAACCAGCTAAATATCTAATCTCAGTAAACCCACTCAGTTCACCATACTAATATGTTACGCTAATACCATTTTAAAGACAGTGTGTCTAAGATATTCAGCGAAGTTTTCTTGCTATTTTGTAACCTCTTTTTTCGATTTCAGCCAATGAGCAGAAGACTGAGGAGCAAGGAAATGCAGTGGAAACAAAGAAAGGCATCACCCGTAATGCTCGTAACTTTATAAATAGAAATCAACGCTTTATAATAAGTAATAAGTGTGGAAAACCTTACATTGTAGATACTTCTAATGACTTATCAGATCTCGTCAATAATAAGGATATTATGGAACAGTTACCTGGTAGGCCACAAAATTTGTTAAAATAAGCATAAAAAACTTTTTCATGAAATCGCCTATTCAATTATCTAGAGGATAAAACTGAAATATCTGAAATCGTATCAGAAATCGCTTCCGTTTCCGAGGACGAAAAGGACATACTGGAACTCGAAAACAGTAAAATAGGTAAATCAGAGGTCTAGTGCATTTAATCATTATTCAACAAAAAATTTTAAATTTTCATCTTCAAAATCAATCCTCAACATTCGTTACTAATGGTAATATATTAAAAAATTATACATTCAAATAAATTCTCTGTTTTATTAATCAATTTAGGGCAAAAATTAGACTACTATAAATAGTTTGCGAAAATAAATGAATTAAATATCTTTTTATATCTGAAATTATTCAAATGAATGTTTTAAAAATATTTACATACAAAATAAATCGATTGTATGAGTTATGCTCACACAAGATAAATACAAAGATTTTGACTTAAGGAAACTCAAAGCCAAGAATTGTGCAAATTTACTCGAATTCGAATATTTCTCCTTAAATTTAAGCCAAATTAAAAGGCTTTGTCGTTAAAAGCTTTAAAAATTACTTTAATTACTTAAACTAGATATCGTCATTACTCAGGAGTGTATGCCCGCCGTAGTATTTGAAAGAGGTAAATTTCCTCATTTTTCTTCCCAATTAATCAAATTAGCTTCTTTTAAAAGTCGTCTCAATTTCAGATCTGCCGAGAAAACTGGAACCAATTCAGGAAGAGCGCACTTCCACATATGAGCTTCAGTTTCTTGACAAAGGTCTATTATTTATGATTTGAGTTTAATTTTTACATAGTTCTGATTTTTTCTAGATTTATGAAGCGTTCAGGTTTTTAACTTACTATTTGTTTGTTGAGTTAATCAAGATCTGATTTATTAAGACTGTTTAATAATGTTATAATAATTCATTTATATCTACTTACATTCTTTATTTAAGCATTTTATTTTGATTCGAGCCAAATTAAAAAGCATTTTTCTTAAATGGAAAGAACGTGGGTTTTGGCAATGAAGTTTAGCAAGAATTATTTCAATGGGAATTTTTTAAAATCTTTTGCAAATAAATTTAAAAGTCATTAATTTAAGAAACTATTAGATTGCTTGTTCTTTTATTTATATAAAATTTTTACTTCAATTTATCATTCGATTTTTTTCCATTAAAATCCATAATTTTGTTAAAAATGTCCGCGATTCCAAATATGTTATTAAAATCATTTTCCTTGATCAAGCTTCTGAATCTTCCGATGTGACTGAAACCCATCAGGTGGAGGATGGGAATGTAGATACTGAAAAAGGCAAGAATAAAAATTGAAAACGTTTATAATTGTTTTAGTTCATTTGTTTTATTTTGAATATTAAATAAAACAAAACTGTTTAATTTGTATCAAACGTGTTGATTAAATTTTCATTCCTGGCCAAGCTCTCAAGCTGTAAATAAGGAATATATTATAGTTGCAGTCAATTTCTAACCAAATAACAATTATTTTTATTTTTTTAATAAAATCTTCACCAGTTACTAATTTTGACCAACTTGGTGGTGATTTCGTTTCCGCGGGATCTTTCAGAGGTAAATGTACCAGTGAGTTAACGAACCAATATTTATACCTAGCCCCACTATTTACAATTTATTTGCTACATAGAAGTGAAAAATCTGGAAGAAAAGGAACAACACCCCTCTGTGTGTGCAACAAACAATAAAATTTCAACAGAAAGTGAGTGGACATTCAAATGGGTTTAATATCATTTAGTAATATTGCTATAGTAAATCTCATTATTTAACCCTCATCAAATAGCTCAGGTGAATGAAAGGAAGACCGGTGAACCGCAACGCATTACCTTCGCCGATAGTCAGTTGAAATCTTGTTGTGGCATGATATTGATTGTTACGATTATTGGTAATTGGGAGGGTGGTGTTTAACAAAATCTACTTTTCTTTACTAATAGCCAACGCGAGTGGAGTGTGTGAATGTCAGCCTACTCAAAAGATGGAAAGAAGAGATACACGAGAAGGTTAGAAAAGTACATTATTATCGTGTGAAAAATTACTAAATTTTTATAAATCTTGAGGCATACGGTTATATTTAATAGCACTGGAATCACAAAAAGTTCGCGTTGAGAATCCCACTAAATCAATTAATTCTTCTTTGGGAGTAAAGGGTAATTTTGCAACCTCTAATCGGCTAACTAATTTAGATTTCCTTAAATTTCCAAAATTAAATAAACTTCGTAAGTAAAATTTATACTGAATAATCGTCGAAGTTTTCAACAACCGTAAACTTACCTCTAACGTGAACACGATCAAACAAATCTAACAGGTTTGAAGCTTTTATTAATATCAAATGGCAGGCGTTTTTGATGGTTATCATTATCCCTTTAGTTGACTTCAGGCTTCACAGAGGGGAAGGAACATCAAAGTGAAAAAAAGTGTTTCAATGACGAAGGTTGAAAATTTAGAAAAAATGTGATGTAATACTGTGGAAGTGGTTGAATATGTCATACAGTGGGGTCATGGTAGTTTGAAGTCAACTGCCGGTTAATAGACTTTTTTACCGTATGAGTATACGTTGCCCAGGGTGCACCACGTGGAGGTAAGTCTATCGCACACCCCTGGTTTGAAGTTTAAAAGAGTAGCGAATTGTTTTACAAAGCATAGTACCTTATTCATTTATTTAAACTTAACAATACCAACAAGTGATCATCAAGCCAACACTTGAAAAGTGCCAAATTTAATAACCGTAAATCTTTATTGGCTATAATCGTGTGGTATTAGTACATCAGGCGTATTGGAACCAATATACGCCAACGCGTAATACCAAAATAAGCAGATTTTTTTCATTCGATATCCTCTCTAGGCTCGCTAAAATCGAACAAAAGGAAAATTAAATATTGGCAGTTTGAAGACTTTTAAGACAAAGAGGCTCTTACTTAAATTTACTTGAAATAAAAATAGGTGGCACAAAAGATGACATATTTCAATTGACCCTTACTCCTGCAATTCAATCTAAAATTATTTCATGATTAAGTCAAAAGGAGCGCCAGGGGAAAGTCTCATTTGTTTTTTCTGCTTTTGTAATAAAATGCCTCGTTTCCGCTTTTTTATAGCTGAGCCTCCTCTAGTCCCAATGGTTGGAAGCAACGTTAATAAATGTGAGATAATTTATTCTAATTCAAATTTGTGATGCACAATAATAATATTTCAATGTAATATGTAATGTGATGTTAATGCGCTTTATTCTTTTAAAGGCCTTCCTGTGTTTCTGAGATTGCCACCATTATTCGAAAGTGCTGAAGGTAAGAAATATTTCATTGGATTATTAAGGGAGATTAATGAATATTATCATTTTATAAAAATACAAATAATTCTTCTGGTCAACTAATAGCAAAATGATTCAAGATACCATCACGTAACATGAATTGCTAGATATCCAAAATTTTGTAATCAGATTAGAGATGGGAATATTCATGTCTTTAAATCGTATCATTGTCACAGAAGATTTGATAATCCTTCAATCCAACAAACCCTAAGGACTCAGCTATTGCATTGACAGTGTTATAAAAATTTTGCCTTTGAGAAAAGTTATTTTCCATAAGCTTATAGCACAAAAATTAAGGCTAGAATTTTGTCAACAATAACAAGTGAATAAAATTTGCTTAAATTTTCAAACCATTCTTCGTTGAAATTGTAGGCAAAGCAACGCAGAGCTCAACAAATAACATGATCAACCAACAAGGGGTCTCTGGAGGTCAATACTATTTTAATTATTGTATTATTTTTGAAACTATTTTAGTAGATATCGGGAATTTTTTGTATAATTTAGCCGCACCAAATACAGCATCAACAGTGCTTCCACAAACATTTTATCGAATGATACCCGGTAATCCTTGAAATTTTTGTATATCGATTTATTCAGAAATCTTTTAGGAAAAATGAGTTAAGTAATTAAATTTATGAAAATTATTTTACAATTTCGTTTATTTTAAACTTTTGAAATTACATTGCGGTTTATTTTGCTTAAATCCTACATCATTAAGCATATATCAACTAATGCAAGAAAGATTTTATTTGATAGAGCCAATTGGAAGCCCGAAATTTTATGCACCATTTGCTTGCCAACCTTATTTTCGTATGTCTATTGGGAATTTTTCGAATTTAATTTTAATATAATTGCTTAAATTAATGCTAGTCAAGGACTATTGACTTCAACTAAGTTTGGCGAGATTACAAAGCTGTTAATTTTTAAAATCGCATTGTAGCTCAAGGAACAATGGGGTACCATCCTGTTGTCTGGCGCTATGGGCCACCTCAAACTCTCCCTCCACCTAAACCTATCAAAGGTAATAATAAATTTCCAGTTAACTTGTTGGTGTAAAAATTATTTCTTTTTTTAAAGCACCTCAAATGTCGATTACAAAATATAATAAGTGCCCATATTATAAAAACTGAATATATTTTTTAATATGCTTTGTTAATCTACGTTTCTAATTATGCCACAAATTTGAATCTTATCTTTTAATGAAAACTTATAGAAAAAAGCAAGTCATTGAAGAAAAGTCGGAACAAGAGTGAAAAAGTTAGAGAAGGTAAATAAAGGCTACTTTGTGTATATTTTAACTCTTATTGCCAACTTAAAATTATAACCCACTTAAATAAATTTGAATTTTGGATAACTTTTAACTTAAAAATCGAAATTTCGCATTTTAAATTCTTGTGAAAAATAAAAAACATTAGTATCATACTTAAAAAATCTCTACAGAAAATGCCAGAATCCTTATTCAAGACATTACTGATAAACAAATGGTATTAATTTTTTTATAGAAAAATAAATTATAATGATTACTTATAATACAAAGGGAAAAATCAGTTTCACAGAATAATTTTGTATTTTAGAAGCTAAAAGGCAAACGAGATCTCCAGTGAAACCAATTATTCGACAGTATTACGTACCGAACCCTAGAATTGGTGGAGGTAATCTATTCTACTACTTTTGCCCAATGGCATACATATTTAAAAGGAATATGCGCCTTATATCACATATCAATGGGCGTTAAGGCTTAAATGTTAATGTTTTGTTAAAATGCCTTTTTATTTATAGCAGCAAAAACTGGAACTATCGAAGAAGTAATTGAGAATTTGGCTGGATTGAATATCAACAAACCACAGAACAGTAAATCACATAATTATAATTTATTTCAGTAGTTCAGTGCAAAGTTTGTTCTCAATTCTAAACTAAAAATGTTTAAATTTTAATTTTATTTGTTTCAGAATTGCATTCATTAAATAAATATCTCTCTTTTAATAATATTTCGAGTAATATTGCAAAAATGCATATTTTAATAAATTTTGCATAAACAAAATTCGCAAAGCATACAATATCTATAATATTTGAAAAATTTGCGACCATTTTTGGTAATTACGAAACTCTATTTTTGATATTTATTTATTTCAAACGGCAAGCTTTGTGATATTTATCATTAGCCCTTAATCTTTGATTTCAGCTTCCCCAGGGGTGGGGGGTACATTTATAGCAGTTAATTAATAGCAATTCATTAGCTGTCTTCTTGCTTCCCAGTATCTTTGGCTTTCCGTCCTTGTCTTTAGGGCTGGACACCGAATCAGATGGGTCTTCTCCATTTCCTCATGTAGGTTACATAGGGGGCATGTGGGTTGAGTGTATACTCCCAATCTGTGAAGGTGTTTTGCCAAGCAATCGTGTCCGGAACGTAGTCTAAACTCACCAACGGCTTCGATTCTTGGCCAGTCGGCTATATCGGAGATTGCCACTGTCCACTGTTTCTCCTTTGTTCGAGCTTTGAGTTCGTTGCACCTTGAGGTATGAAATTCTCTCCTGATTAAGGCCTTCATTGTGTGGAAAGACATCGGGCGGTCCATGCATTGCAAAATCGTTGTCCCCTTCTTAGCAAGTGTGTCAGCAAGCTCACTGCCTTTAATGTCACAGTGACCAGGAATCCATTGTAGGACCACTGTTTTGTTTTTCTCTCTCAGCAGCTGATAGATTTTCCTACATTCCTTTATCTCAGCTGCTTTGGGTGGCTCTTTGCTTGCAATTGGGTTTATTGCTGACTGTGAGTCCGAAAGTATTACTGCTTTGGTGAATTTCGTATCGAAGCAGCATAATTGGCATAGTGCTATCCTAATGGCC